CTTATATATACTTCTATATACTTCTATATACTTATATATACTTATATATCCATCACCTCTTTTTCCCAGGTTTAACTTCCTCGGACAAGACATTTGTCGATAGCAACTGTGAGGTGCATGTGTTCAACCCACACTTGGATGTGCCATCGCTGGGCGCTGTAGTAGGCGAGTTACACAAAGAGAAACACTACGGTATCGCTTTCCATCAGATATTACTGGCACCCTCAGGGGGTAAAGCAAGGTAGTGTGTCTGTGTGGCTGAGGTTTAATATATGATATGGGCTGTGTATATATTGAGATATGTTCTGAGTAGTCGGTTTATGCACGGTGTCGCCTTCAATCAGATATTACTGGCATCCTTAGGCGGCAAAGAAGTTATAGTGTATTTTTGGGTGTGAAGGTATGGTGTGGGTGTGCTGCATATATGCTATGTTTTCATTTCTGTGTATAGTATAAATGCGTCTATGTGTTTACACGCACACATATACACCACTCAGACACACATATGTATATTGCACACACACAATATATACCTAGCGATACAGACCAGTTCATATGTATCTTTTGTAAAAACGCTAAAATCGGCGTTCTGTTGTATTTACACACATGTGTGGATAAATGCCAATTCATATGTATCTTTTGTGCTGTGACTTTCTGTTGTACTTGCACAAATGTATGGATAAATGCCAATTTACATGTATCTTTTGTGCTGTGACTTTCTGTTGTACTTGCACACATGTATGGATAAATCCCAATTCATATGTATCTTTTGTGCTGGCTTTCTCTTTTACTTCCACACATATATGGATAAATGCCAATTCATATGTATCTTTTGTACTGGCTTTCTCTTGTACTTACACACATGTATGGATAAATGCCGATTCGTGTGCATCTTTTGTGCTGAATTATTATTTTGATATCCTTCGTATAGCGTACGCGATCCGTCTTCGCATCTGCACTACACTGAGATGTCGCTCATGGGAGTGCGCAAAATGTTACATCACGAGGCGTACGTCATCGATGTGCTAAAAATAGATTTAGAGGGCGACGAATGGGAAGTGCTTGGTGACTTTGTGCGCAATCCCGAGCAGCTGAGCGGTGTTAAATACATCATGGTGGAGGTATGTGTGCATGTGTCAATACGTATGTTTGTATATGTATATATATTAATATCGTAATATATATATATATATATATATATATACACTCACTCACACACACACACACACACACACACACACACACACACACACACACACGACAACACACACACACACACAC